AAGGAGATTTTGGAGCAGCCCGTGTCTGCTCTTAGATCATGGGGAACAGTTGAAGTGCTGCTATGTGACCTGTTTCCTGTGAATTACTCTGACAGGATGTCTGTGTCTCATGTGGCCTCTTGCTTTTTAACTGTATGCTCAGTGTTTTACCCAGGGTGACCTGCGCTCCTCTTTCGGTTATGTAGCAGATTTGAGTGCATCTGACTTGTGCTTGAGTGGTTGAGACATGATAGAGATAATGATAGATAGTCTTATTTTACATCAAATGTATATTTGCTTTTTTGTGGGTTTAAGTTTTATCAGAGATATACGCATATCACTCCTTATCAGATACTAATGGAAGTGTGCAAAGCTGGCATCAGTATATCCATCAGTGTTTGCAGTGCACATTTGTGAGATACTCCAACGTCTGACATGGTGCAGTTTAGTAACTGGATTTCACTGAGGATACAGACAACAGAAGTAGTTACTAAAGTCTTATTTATACTTTCCATTTATTGTACTATATTTGCTGTAACACATAAAAAAAGTCAAATTAAGATTTCCTTGTTATTCTCTCACCTTTATTTCTTTCCACCCCATTTTTCTTCTTTGAACACACAAAATGAGATGTATTGCAGAATTTTGATAACTTCTGTTTTTCTTACAACAAAAGTGGAAGCTGATTTATTTAAGATTTAAGACATATTTAATATATCATCAAATAATTTATGTATATAGCTTGGCAGTATAAATCACCATATGTGGAAAACAAAACCATGGAGATGTGCAGTATAATGCACTGGAAAATAATATTAGATTGAAACAAGATAGGGTGGGTGAACTGTCTTTTTTATTTTTAATGTATATTTTAATTCATTCAGACAGTAAGATAATGCAATGCAAATTAAAGTAAAGTGACATGGGGCCAAGTATGGTGACCCATACTTGGAATTTGTGCTCTGCATTTAACCCATCCAAGTGCACACACACAGAGCAGTGGGCAGCCATATTGCTGTGGTGCCCAGGGAGCAGTTGCCAGACCTGAGACTCGAACCCGCAACCTACAGATTACAAGGCCAACTCTATAACCATTAGGCCATGACTGCTCCTAATGATTGCCCCTATGCAAATGCTGATGGTACCACCATAACTCGAGTCTTCCTTTATCTAAACAATTATTTTCCACATCACTAAAGAGCTTATGCCTGGCCATGTATCACAATTTATTTGAAGCTACCTTCAGACATGTGTAACCTCTATTACTTCAAGGACAATGAGCTCTTGCAGGGGAAGAGCGATGTTAATGTAATGGCTAAAATGACAAAAACCTGATGAATTGTTTCATAAGAACCTTCTATTCCTGATCAGTGAAGAATGTTCATTATATTAAGTTAATGGATTAAAAAAAATTGGCAATTCATTATGTGTCATTACTTTCTGGACATTGGCATCAAACTAGCAGAATGGATTCTTAGTCACTGGGACTTTGATGTGTTTTGACATGGAAACATTTTGTTTCAGAGTACAAATATTTGCTGCTTTCTGTGACAAATTATCAGTTGTTTTTAAGAGACATAATTTAACAGACTCTGAGGTATAAATACAATTGTTAATGTGGCAGATGACCCAACCAGATGTTCTCCCATGATATCAGTTTATGAAAATCTTTCATTTTTCACTTCAGTGAGCATCTGCTGGACAGATGGAATAAAACTGGCTTGGCATTTAGTTTGTAACAACACATTACAACAGTGATGTGTTTTCTTCTTACACTAAGAGACATAACCAACAGAATTTAGTCTTTCTAGAAAATACCGACAAAGGATTTGCAACAAGTGACCATCTTTATAAGTGAGTACTGATTAATTTAAAAAAAATAAAAATCAGTCTGTAACAGTTTGTAGATCGGGAAGGAGGAGGCGGGAACCGGCGAACATTTAAACAAAACTTTAATAAAATAAACCTAATAAACAATCATTCTGTTTTTCCTTGTGTCTACAGCCAAATTATACTTCCCTTGTCCATGTTCTGCTCCGGTTTGCAGCCTTTTGCACATGTAATATTGTGGAAATATCTTATATAACATATATATCTTTGGCCAGTGTAGAGCTCATAATAACCCCTTGCACACAGAATTACACAAAAGCAACAGTGTAGCTACATATCTGGAAACTCATTAAAATGGAAGGTTTGGTGCATGTGGCCACATAGACTCTTTGATGTCGCAGTCAGCCTTCACCGAGGTGGCCCTCTCCTTCCTCAAAATGATTATCTGTGGTGCAGAGCTGGAGTCAGACCTCTCTCCATCCAATTTACACAGCTATTGCTGAGGGCAAGGAAGACCAGCATAATCAGCCGTGACCCCTATTGTGTATGATCATAGCTGCATAGAGATGAGTGCTGCCATACTAGTGACCTCCTAGGGCGTCAACACGGGGCATTGATTATCAGTCTGATGCTGAGTATGATCCGTCAGCATTGTGATGCATTATGGGTTTTGTTGCTGATGATTAGCTCTGGAGAATAGCAGACAAATGACAAATGCAGATCCAAGCTGCTCTGCTTGCCTTATGCTGTATTCTATACGCCAGTGCTGAGCAGTGTCTTCTTTAACTGGATATGCTGTCTAATTTATCAGAGGCTACAAATAAGAAACTCCATGGCAGGCGTCGATTTAAAAGTAGGGCTTTTGCCAGGCTGTGCCTTCCCACATGCATACACTTACACATTACACAAACAAGATTTGTCAAGCATGGTGAAGACAAAGGGAGATTAGAAGATATGTTGTCAGAAGATATTTTGTCAGTGGGCTTTCAAAATGTAAAAAAAATTACTTTGCTTGAGAAAACATTAAAATGTAGAGTTATTTTCATTTATTTATTTATTCTAATTGAATTTAGTCATGATTTGCATCAAACAATAATGACGGTTCATAGCAACAGAGTATAGGCACCAAAACTGTTATGTATCCACTTACCCGAATCTACAGACACTTATAGTACATACATATTCCCAAAATTGTATTATGTAACAATAACAAGGGAATTTATAGCAATGTTAATATTAATTCCCCATTCCCCAAACTCATTACTTGTAGTTTAATGAACTGCACATCACTGCTAAATGCTTGGTTTTTTTGTTGGTACTTTCCACTAATACGTTGTACTTTGGTGTTCCAAAATGTGTGTTTTTTAAAGCATTAAAGGTACAAACACCATGTTTATCCTAACAACAATTCGATCTTTTAGATAAACTAATATTCAGTAATTTTTTTTTACAAAAACCATAACTAACCGTGACTAAATTACCAAAAACATACTCTCTTAGAAAAAAATTTACAAACTGCCTCTGTCAGTATGCTAATGTATACACTTTAGGTATTGTACTAATATGTACTTTTAAAGTGCTAACATGAACCTTTAAGGGACTAATTTGTATAATTTAGGGGTAAACAAGGTACAGAGATGTACCTTTTTAGCTTTTGCACCTGAGGATACCACACCAGTGACAGTTTTTTTCTGAGTGTAATATTTTTTTTAAATGCATTATAACATATATATATAACTTTTAATGCTAATTTGTTTATGCTAATTTAACATGGATCAATATAAATAAAAGTTTCAAGCATGTGTTACTGTTACCCAATCTGGCATGTTTTAAAATAAACTAATTGTACTACATTTTTAATATTCTTAAATTTTTATTTAAAACTATTAAATTAAATGTAATACTCATCAGAAGAAAATATTGCCTTAAAATAATTTTCCTCCCAGTAAACACTACTGGGGGGAAAAAAATTGTTTCATGCATTATTTGTTTTTCTATTGATAGAACTTGCCTGCTAATGTTGTGGTCTTTTGATAAAGATGCGTCATACAGATCTGGAACAGAACCATTGTACAACAAGCCACAACTTATTTCAAAACAGCTGTTATGTAACTTAGCTTAGAGTCTGTATTTGTTATTGTTGATGCTATTGCATTAGGGTACAGGAACAAAAAAAACACCCCTTCCCCTTTTTGCAATCGCCCACGCAAGTCCATTAGAGCACTGCTCAGAGGAGATGCTAGAAAATGCTCTCGCAGTTCAGTCTAGTTCACTGCCTTTTTATTTTCTCCAGAGTGGCAGAGGCATGTGCTGGAGTACTGGATCTGCCACTGTTCTCCTCTGCTTTTTGTGAGACTAATTAGCTTGTCTATTGCTTCCTATATAAATCATGATCGAGCACCCTAAAGTTGAGCTGAAATTAAAAAAAGGACCCACAAAAAAAGTCTCATACAGGACACATTGTGCTGAATTCAGTCAATATTAGAAAGAAGTTTCAATAAATAGTCATGAGGAGATCACTTCTGCTCTTCAGTATATATTTAATTTCCATTTCTTTGTGGTTTTTCATGAAACCTGCTTGGTTCTTTGATTAAATCCCTTTTGATTTCTGCCACTGTCAGTCTGATTTTGGTTCATTTACTTTGCAGCTACCTCTGAACGCAGACTCATTTAATTATGAAAGAAGTGGTAAACTGGTAATATAGCAAACAGCATAATGGACCCAAACAATTTTCAAGATTTCAGTTTGCTTTTAGAGAGAGCTGTAGCCCCCTCAGAGAGCTAGCCGGCATGAAAAGATCAAACCACAGAGTAAATGTTTTACATCCGAAATCTGATTGGTCAGATTGGAAAGCTTTCTTGGCAAGCGTCTCAGACAGTCTATAAAAGGACAGCAAATAAAACAGAGCATAGCAACATATTTCAAACCTGTGGATTTATTGTGTGTTTTCATGGGAAGGTAATAGCTTGTCCATGACTTATTGCTCTGTGCTAGTTTCTGGACTGAAAATAGAGTGGAAATGTTATAATAATATATCCATTCAAGTATGGCAGTAAATTATTTATATCGTTATTGCCCTATAATTAATAACGTAGAATAAGTAGGCAATGAGGCCTGACAAGTTATGAATTATATAAATTATTAGGGTTCAAAGATTCAAAGTTAATAGAATAAATTTTTTTGTTTCTAGACCGTCCACCTGCTCCAGTTAATGTCTCAGTTATGCACCTGAGAGCTGATTCAGCAACCGTGTCCTGGGAGGTGCCTGAGGGTGACATCATCATCGGCTTTTCCATCTCTCAACAGGTAAAAAATTTTACACAAAATATAATCTGTTATTTCTAATATTTCTAAGTATATGGGCACCGACAGCTTGTGTTCTTTTTGTAAAACAAGTAGAATACACATTGTTTAAACATTGTTTTTTTTATTATTATATCCAAACAATTTTGTTCTGACCTTGGCTCATATATTTGGTTCTCCTAATTGTTTCGTTCTTTCTTTCTTTTCTTTAAAAAAAATAAAAATAATTGTAATTATTTTTCTTTTTCAAAACTTGTATTTTTCTTTTACAGTCATTAAGTGTGTTGACAAAGTTAAAACAATAACCTGTCTTTTTAAAATTAGGGGCCCTATTTTAATGATCTAAGTGCATGGTCTAAAGCAGTGGTTCCCAGCCCTGGTCCTGGAGGCACCCCAACACTGCACATTTTGAATGTCTCCTTAACCAAACTCACCTGATTGAGGTTATCAGCTCATTAGTAGAGACTCACAGACCTGAAATTGGTGTGTCAGAGAAAGGAGACATGCAAAATGTGCAGTGTTGGGGTGCCTCCAGGACCAGGGTTGGGAACCACTGGTCTAAAGCACACGGCGCAATTGCACTTAGGGCATGTCTGAATCCCCTTTTGCTAGTTTAAGGAAAATGGTCGGGGCGCTCGGCGCATGGTCTAAAAGGGTTGTCCCTATTCTCTTAATGAGTAATGGGTGTGTTTTGGGAGTAACGTAAACTCCATAAACTCCATAAACCAATCAGAGTCTCATCTCCTATTCCCTTTAAATGCCAGTTGCGCTTGCGCCATGGCGGATTCGCTATTTACAGAATTTGCAAGCGGAAAATCTGAACTCTTGCGTAATTCTGATACATGCAAAGACTATCCATTATGACGTACGCATTTTTATATTTATGTACACAATAATAATCTTTTACATTTGAATCCTTTAGTTTTTCATTTTTTTAAATGTTTGTGTGCTGCTGCACATCCCTGTGTGTGTAATAAGCAAAGTGTAGGCCTATAGGCACATATTACTAACGCGCTCTTTAAATAACAAAACAATTATAATAAAAAAATATTGTGCCAGACTTTAGACCAGGTTTCAGTTGGTCAAAGGCGCAGTCTATTTCAGTTGCCTCAAAATAGCAATGCGCAAGCAATGCGCCTGAACACACCTCATTTTCAGACCAGCACACCCATGGGCACAAATGCATTTGCTATTTAAACCAGGTGGGCAGGACGTGAAAATGAAACTAGCAAAAAACACTTGCGTCGCACCTGGTGCCGCATTGCGCCGGGTGTATGATAGGTCCCTAGATGTCATGCGAATGTTTTTGTCTGAATTAAATCATACCTGATTTTAGCATGGCTGAAACACTGTGTTGACCAATCAGAAGAAAGGACCAGAACTTTTATAAACATTCATACCTCCATGCTACTTTTTGTTTAAAAATTGTGTGGCCAGTAAATGTGAATTTGGTCATATTTAGATGTAGTTGTGATTAATGTCCTATCCTCATTGTAAAAGATTAACATGGTTGTTTACTGAAATTCAGAAGCTATTTATTATGTGACTGACTGACTGATTTCACATTTGAGCAATTACAAATGTATCTGTCAATCATGTTATGCAATAGGTTTTCTGCATGTCTGTAATGGCTGTGCAGGCGACGCTCACAGATTAATGCATTATTCATTTAGCCAAAGACTTCTATCAGACTCCCCCACACCTAGAGGCTGCTTCAGAGCCCAAGGGCAGAGGAAAGTGCTTTGGATCTATTTGCAGACTTTAAAGACCAACCAAGGCAGAGCTAAATGCAACATTAAGAGGGCAGAATTATAGCTGATATTAAAGGCTGTCGTGTCATGTTTGGCTCTCAGGGCTTCAAGAAGATCCTTTAGCGCCCAAACGTGTGATTTATACTTTATGTGACCTTATAGAAAGTGCTTACTGTTACTGTACTGCTGACCTCTAGACAGGGTGAGCCATTTGAAATGTCAGCAAATACCAGCCTAAAGCTGCAGGTGATGTTTCAGAGTTTGTAAAAGTTTTTGTTTGGAAGAACATCTAAATATATGTAGTTTAGACTAGGAATGGACTACAAAACACCCCAGGAACAATGCATGCCCATCACAATCCACAGTATATAATGCCTCAATATAGATGCACCTCTTAATCATTGGATTTAGGTGTTTCAGTCAGACCCCTTTGCCACAGGTGTATAAAATTTACAAACATTTGTGAAAAAAATGGGCCATTCTAAAGAGCTCCGTGAATTCAAGAACAGATGGAGTGGTGTTAAGCACACTGCCACTGGACTATGGAGCATTGGAAACCTGTTCTGTGGAGTGACGAATCATGCTTTTCTGTCTGGTAGTCTGATAGGCAAGTCTGGGTTTGGCAGATTCTTGTAGAAAGCCTTCCCAGAAGAGTGGAAGCTATAGCTGCAAAGGGGAGACCAACCCTATATATTAATGTCTATGTATTCAGAATGCAATGTCATTAAAGTCCCTGTTGGTGTAATGGTCAGGTGTCCCAATACTTTTGTCCATATAGTGTATGTGTATTTATATATACTACTGATCTATAGCAATCCAGTGGCTTAACTCTTTCAGAGAATGGACGGCAAAATGCAGAGGTTTATCAGGGAGGTGAACACCACCAGCAGATCCTGTGTGCTGTGGGACCTGGAGGAGGAGACGGATTACATTATCCAGGTGCAATCCATCGGCCTGTACGGAGAGAGTCAGGCCAGCAAACGTGTCCACTTCAGAACCCTGAAGAAAACGGACCGCTTCCCCTCAAACAGTTCGAACCAAGGTAACAGACCACCCTCAATCTAATACAACAATGCTATGGAATTCTTCCCACTTTTGATGCAAGCCATCATAGCTTGACATTTTGTGTATTAAAAATGTGAAACGTCACAGTGACTGTTTACATTCTTAGCAGATTCTGCCATTGTGTTCAACAGTTCCCTTTCCTACAACCCAATTAATTATTGATGAACACTTCAGGCATGAATGCAGGTAGACCTTGTTACTGCCTCTCATTTTCAGCTCCAGCTTCTAATCAGCTCGCTGCCTCTCAGGGGGATGTGCTGTATATTGGTGCTGTGTGGCACAAGCGGGTGGTCCCTAATAGCAGGCCAATTGAGTGTATTATTAACATCCATTTCAATGTTGTGTTGATTCGAGATGTTTTTGAGAGATTTTCTCTTTGGTATGAAATCTAGCACAGCACTGAAAACCAGATAAATCAAGTTGCTTTCAACATGAGAGTTGCTATTTTTGCCAGCCATGTTGAAAACACCAAAACATCCAGTCTTATGCACACCGACGCAAATGGGGTGCTCAAAATTAATCATCCAAGCATTCAAAAATGCACGTTCAGAAATTCACTCAATATGTCATTAATGCTCTCCTGCCTTGGACTGAAATAACATATTCAACACATTAAGAATGTATCATCAAATTTGATTTGAAGACATCACGTTTGACTCTTGCTGACAGGAAGTTGTGTAATTAAGGACATTCACTGAAAATTAATTATTCCATAGAGCTTCAGTTCAATTAAACTACATTTAGAATTATTCCTAAAAAATTTGAATTAGAAAATAGAATTATATAAAAAAAATTATTTAAATTAAATATAGCTTTTTTGTAGAAGTTTGATTTTAGCTTCGTCTTGGCTGTCAGCTGTGCATAAGGCCACAGTTTAAATTCATCCAAGTGAAGAGAAAGACCTGTTATTAGAATTGCCTGGACAGAAGAAGTCTGGGCAGAACTTACACACACAATGAGGCATAAAAAGTATACTGTCAACTCATTCTAAGCTAATTTTTTTAATTAACTCTCGAACACTAATACTGTAAGTCTTTCCTATCTTATTACTTTTATTGTGGCTGCAATTCAATGACTTTTTAAAAAATATATTTCATTCTCTTTTTTTTTTCAATCCGTGGTCATTATAGTTTCTAGTGCAATACACTTGATAAACTGTATTTTAATGAATCTTATAAAACTGTTCGATACTGTAATTTTCTCCATTGCTTTTCACCAAGTCATGATGCCATGTATACCTTGACAGGCATATGTGTGTGTGTGTGTGTGTGTATATATATTTTGTATATATATATTATCCTGCTTGTTATTTGGCTAATTGCAATGTAAGTATATTATTTTGATTTGAAACCACTTATTATTATTATTATTATTATTTCACTTTAGATTAGCTACTGCTATAAAACAAATGACAAAATAGAAAACAAGACAAAGACTGCCGCAGTATTACAATATTGAACTTAAATTTTTCTGCATTTAAATTTTTTTATATGAAATGAAATGTTTCCATCCATGCTTTTCCCTGTACTGTTCAACTCCATTATTCTGTGACATTTTCCCATTTTAAAAATGACGTATTTTAAAATAACTGTTTGATCTTTCTGATCATATTTGGTTATTCAATTTACAGTGTTCAGTATTGAGGGTCATAGTTTAAAAATCAGTCATAGAAAAACCCATTCTGACCACTAATCTGAATATGATGTCAGATTATTTCAGATATGAAGTTCAACATCATCTGAATAAATGAATACATATATTTTTGACACAAATGGCAACATGACAACACAGAAAAAAATATAACAATGCATCATTCAAATAAGGTAATTCTTTGACATTTGCATGATCGTGACCCAGTGATTTACTGCATGTTCAGAGGAGTTCCGATTAGTGTAGTGTCTCTCAATGCATCAGTTCATCTGTCTGTGTTCCTATAATAATGTATCATCATGATGCAAAAACGGTTAAATTCCAACCCTCCCTCCTCCATCCTGCAGTGCATAGATTTGAAATTAGAAGCAATAGACTTAGCAGGGAGTATTTGCCATCTGCTTACAAACAGGAAACACGATCCAATGCAGAGTTCTGTTTTTCAACTCTCAAAGTCAACTTGTCATAATCGCCCGAGCGATAATCTGACCAGTATCCAAACAAATCCAAAAAGGAAAGAAGTCGTCTTCATAAAGATAATAGAGAGAGATAGGAAGTGTGCCAAGTCATTGAGTAATGTGTCTTTTTTGTAACTCTATACAGTTTCACTCTCATCTCAGAGGTATTTTTGGCCAATGCTTCTCATGTGCTGTCAGACTGAGCTGAAGATGATTCCCACTGGATGCAATTACTGTGATACTTCAAAGAACTGTGTCTGTAGAAGCTGAGTCAAAGACCAGGCCCTGCAGGTCTAATAAACAAGCCTGTGAATCCTGATGAGGAAAGACCCATCACATTTATAACTAGAAAGAAAATAAACAACTTATAGCAAGCACAATGCTTTCTCTGTGCTGATCCATACAGGATACTTACTCATCCTTAAGTTGTTCAAAAACCTATATGAGTTTTTTTCTTCTTCTGTTGAGCACAAAAGAAGATATTTTGAAGAACGTTGGTAATAAAGCTGTTCTTTCTATAGTTATTCTATGGAAGTCAATGGCAACGTCAGCTGTTACCAACATTCTTCAAAATATTTTCTTATAACACAAAATATCCTTTGTGCTCAACAGAAGAAATAAACTCCTACAGGTTTGGAACAACTTGAGGGTGAGCCTCAACACAATCTGAACATTCTGAAGACTCATCCAGTATAAAGTACTTTTTGTGCTAAGGAAAAGTTCCATGGATGATAAAAGATCCTCATGGAACCATCAATGCCAATAAAAAAAACTTTTTTTCTTTTCCTTTTTTTTTTAAAGAATGTAGGATTGGAACAACATGAGTCAGTAAATGAAGGTAATTTGTGCTGTACTGATTCTCTTCGTGCTTCTCATGAGAATGTCACAATGATATATACATGTGCAACAGTGTCTTTGAACTGATTTCAGGCTTGTGGAACTAATGAGCAGATGTCTTGCTTTTGGAACCTTGCACCAAAGAAGAAGCGAGGAAGCATTATGTTGTCTGGCATGTAGCAGCTCCTTTTTAAAGGGCTCTAAAGAGAACCCCTGTTGGGCTTTTGGAACACAATCAGTTAAATAAACAGCACTGCGTCCCACATGAGGCTCTTATCTCTGTTGAGAGAGGTGGCAAGGGTAGGTTGAACCTGCTTATGGAGCACAGACAGCATTCATTTTCCACACATGAGTGAAAAACCTCCACACTTATTGTTATAAATATTCATGGGGCTAATGAGAGGAGTCTATCCTGAGTCTTTAGCAGCAGAGAATGTGAACGGGAGCGAGTGAGACCGCTATTGGAAATCACGACAATGCATGTGATCCTTCCAGTAATTGGATGGTCAGAATATACACCCCCTCCCTCCCCCTCCCCCCAACCTTTCATTTTTAATTTATGACAGCAGGTGTCTCAGTGGCAGCGCTGCTTTCATCCAGAAAGGAACAGCAATTGGGAAGAGTGGCGCTCTGGACCAACTCCACACAGGTTAAAAGATATTTGGAGGAGGAAATGGGCCTGAATTCAATCCCTTTAACACTGGATTAATAATAAAGACAGATGGCTGGGTGGATCAGGCAGTGGTTGGATGGTGATGGTGATTGGGATGCTGGGAAATTGACCAGCTTTGGGATACATCCTTAGGGTTTAACAAAAGTAAAATGAATCACATAAGCAGCTGGCTGTGTTCTGCATACTTTTTTTTCCTCGTCATTTTTACACTGTGTAACTTTCGACACTCTAATAGTTGAAGCATAGTTGAAGTTGCAGAGAAATATTGTTTTGGTCATTACATGAGTTGAGCTTCGTCTTCACGGTTCTGTTAGGATGAATCTAATGGCTTGTATCTTTATTTATGGATATGACATAAACATGCACCAACAAATGCTGGAAGAATGAAGTTTCCAGTGAAATCCATCCCGACAGCTCTAAAGTATAAATAATTATTATTGGCTTACCATAGTGATTTGGTGTAAAGCAAATATAGTTTGGAAGATGCATTTATAATCTGCAGGAAAGGAAGAATTGCACAGGCTTGGAGATGTGCTGAAGGGTTATTTATACCCAAAGAGGAGAACTCTGAAAACATTGACCAGTTTCGGGTCATATCCTTACTCAGCATGGAGATTAAGTTCTTTTTCAGTGTTGTGGCCAAGAGACTCTCTAACTTCCTGCTGGGCAATAGATACATTGACTCATGAGTACAGAAGGGAGGCATATTCGGGGGGGCCTAGAACATAGAGGCGTAGTGACTCAGCTTATCAGGGAGGCAAGAGAGGGCAGAGGGGACCTGGCAGTAATTTGGTTGGATCTGACCAATCCGTACGGCTCAATACCTCATAAATTGGTACAGGTGGTGCTGGAGAGATACCATGTACCCCAGAAGGTGAAAGATCTAATCCTGAACTATTATAGCAAGTACATCTTAAGAGTCTCTGCTGGCTCCAGTTAGAAGTAGGTATCATCATCGGTTGCACCATCTTGGTCACCCTCTTCACGCTGGCAATGAACATGCTGGTCAAGTCAGCAGAGTCAGAGTGCAGAGACCCTCTCAGCAATCTGGAATGGGGCAGCCACCTATTAGGGCCTTCCTGGATGACCTCACAGTTACAACAATAACAGTGCCTGGATCCAGGTGGATTCTCCAGGGGTTAGAGAAGCTCATGTTGTGGGAGCGTATGAGTTTTAAACCCACCAAATCCCGGTCTTTAGTGCTGATGAAAGGGAAAGTGACTGATAAGTTCTGTTTCAGGTTGGGAAAAAATCTAATCCCATCTGTCACAGAAAAAAACAGTGAGGAGTCTTGGAAAGGTCTTCAGCTGCAGCCTTGGGGACACAGACTCCATCAAGACCACCACGGGTGATTTGGTGAGGTGGCTGAGAACAGTGGACAAGTCTGGGCTCCCTGGGAAATTTAAGGCCTGGGTCTACCAGCATGGAATCCTCCCAAGAATCCTTTGGCCCCTGCTCATCTATGAAGTTCCTGTTACTGTAGTGGAAGGCTTTGAGCGTAAAGTGAGCAGCTAGTTATGCAGATGGTTGGACATGCCACGCAGTTTGAGCAGCATTGGGTTGTATGGTAACAGCAACATGCTCAGAATCCCATTTAGCTCCATCAGGGAGGAATTCATTGCACGGGCATGAGAACACCTGCAGTATTCGGGTTCGAAGGATGCTATAGTGTCCGGAGCAGGCATCATCGTGAGGACAGGGAGGAAGTGTAAGGCAGTGGAAATCCAGCAAACAGAAGCTTGGCTGAGGCACAAGGCTCTCCTCAGAACTGTTGCACAGGGCAGGGCTGGACTCGGAAGCTTAATACCAACTCGATACAATATTGCCAATGAGAAAGAAAGGCGGAGGTTAGTACAGGAGGAGGTACGTGCTTCAGTAAAGGAAGAACAAGCAAGCAGGATTGTAGCAATGAGGAAACAGGGTGCCTGGATGAAGTGGAAGCAGGCAATGGAACGGAAGGTGACCCGGCAGGAAATATGGAAATGGAACCTTCAGAGGATCAAGTTTTTGATCTAGGGGGGTGTATGACATCCTCCCTAGTCCAGCTAACTTGTTCACCTGGGGCAAGGTAGAAACTCCATCATGTCCCCTGTGTTCCAAGACAGGTACTTTTGAACATATTCTGAGCAGCTGCTCCCAGGTCCTGGGTGAAGGCCTTTATCACTGGAGACATGACCAAGTCCTCCAGACCATAGCTGAGGCAATCAGCAAGGGGATCGTCGAGAGCAGAAAGGCCAGCACTACAGCCAGGATGATTGCATTTGTCAAGGAGGGAGAGCAGCCCATAAGGAAAACCAACTCTGTTGGCTTGCTCTTCACAGCACGAGATTGATTGATGACAGTTGACCTGAAAATTCCAGCACGCATCACCCAGACCATGCTTAGACCGGACATCATCTAGGTCTCGGTGTCCACAAAACAGTTCATTTTACTGAAGCTAAAAGTACCTTGGGAGGAGAGGATGGAAGAGGCACAAGAGAGAAAGAGGGGGAAGTATGAGGAACTGTTGGAGGCCTGCTGTGGGAATGGGTGGAAAATCAGGTGCATGCCAGTGGAGGTGGGTTCCCGAGGGTTTGCAGGTCATTCCCCCAGTAAAGCTTATAGGATGCTGGGAATCATGTGGGCAAGTCAGAGAAGAGCTATTAACAACAGCATGGAGGCTGCAGAGTGGGCATCAAGATGGCTATGGCTAAAAAGGAGTGATGTGTGTGGACCGCAAAACACCACTTGGACACAGGCCGAGGCTTGATCAACTTTGGTCGAATCACCTGGAAGAGGGTGTCTGTTGAAAGACCTGAAACACCCAATGACGCCAGGAATCAGCACTGATGATGTCTCCAAGTTGTGCATCAGAGGATGTATAAAGTAACAAAAGGTATCTAATTTAAATGAGTATTTCTTTAATGTTAAAAAATTTCTGCTATCCCAGTCTACAGTTAATTTCCCTGAAAAAAGACACGTTTCTGAACAAAAAATTTTTATTTTCTTTGTTCAAATGTTGATGGATCTGGAATATTTTAAATAAATGTGTGTGTGTGTGTGTGTGTGTGTAGTAAGTAATTTTTATATATATATATATACAGTATATATATATATATATATATATGCTGGGAGTATGTTATTTGTTTATTCTTATTATTTTTATTCCAGTTGATTCTACATTTATTTATTTAAATGTATTTATTTAAACTACCGTTGAAAAGTTGGTGGTCAGTAAGATATACATTTATTTAACAAGGACGCATTAAAGGTGACATATCATGAAAATCTGACTTTTCCAGGTTTTAAGTGCTATAATCAGGTCCCCGGTGCATCTACCAACCAAGGAAACTTGAAAAAGATTAACCCAGTAACTTTGTTTTGGGAAGCCTTTTTCTGCAAGCGTCTGAGAAAACGAGTGTGTCTGATTTCGCTCCCTTGGTGACGTGGCAAAGGGATCTCATTATAATATTACCACCCCTTAATCTTTAAGTTTCCACTCAAGGCACCGTTATTGTGTTTTCGCAAGTGACAACGGTGTACCAGCTCTAATGCCATGGCGAAAGTTTGAGCAAATCATGCTAACTGTTCTGTCTTTGAGTGCACAGACGAGCACAGAACCCTATTTAGAGTCCCAGCCTCAGAGGAGACAAGAGAGCAGTGGAATTACTGATTTATTTAATGTATATTGCTGCTGTTACACAGATCTAAAATAAACATGCAATTTATTTCCCAGCTGTTTACCTTCACAGACATAACCGACTGTTTTTTGTAACTCGTGTGTTTTTAACGTAAACTTGTGTGAATGAGAACTTAGTTTAGTACTCACATGCTGTGACAGCCAGTTTCTGTCTGTGTGCTTCGGATGTGTGCTCTCAGAAAACCGTATATCAGAAGTTTAAACTCATATGGTTTAAAATGCATGCTTTCAGCGCGATAAACATGATAATCAGAACCAAAACAGATGTTTTTAGCAGGTGTGAGCTGTAATGGTGCAGCTCTATTCTGGAAAAGAGGGCGAGCAGCAGCTCATTTGCATTTAAAGAGACAGGCCTAAAAAACAGTGTGTTTCTGCTTCCACTCAAAATAGGCATTTTCAAAATGATATAATAAATTATCTGTGGAGTATCTTAAGCTGAAACTTCACAGACACATTCTGGGGACACCAGAGACTTATATTACATATTGTAAAAAGGGGTGTAAAATGTCTCCTTTAAATTGATCAAAAGTAACACTAAAGACATTCATAATGATACAAAATAATTCAATTTAAAATAAATGCTCTTCTTTGGAACTTTCTATTAATCAAAGAATCCTGAAATGTATCACACTTTCTACAAAATTCTCCAAACTTTTGAATGGTAGTGTATAGAAAATGTATTATCACAATTTCTGATTCATGACCTCAAGAATCAAAATTATGCACTTTTAGTTTCAGAGTTGGCTCAGTGATTACTATATCAGCTATAAATGATCATTCAGTTCTCAATACAATCACTCACAGATGACCCTCTGTCACCTCTAACAGATGACCCGACTGTCCAAGGCCTGGATAAAGCTCGGCACTTGCAGACAGGAGAGATGATCATCATTGTGGTGGTGCTTCTTATGTGGGCAGGTGAGACACTGATGTCAGCTCAAAGGAAATGTGTCGACTCTATTAATCCAAGCCATGGAATTCTGTTCTGACTGTTTATACCTACTGTTTATGCTTGCAAACATTACCTCATGGTTTATTAACCTCCGAGAGAGACAAAAAGAAAATGAGTTTGAGAAAGAGAGCGGGATCATAATTTGTCTTGGATCTGCTAATGGTTATTAATTTTTCACCTGGATAATTTCAACATCACTTGAATTAAGTGGTGCTTAAAATTCCACTATACATGCCAGCTCTAAAAGCCTTGAAAGACCATAATATGCATTAAACTGATAAAATATGAATACTGGCTGAATATTGAGAAGGGCACGGGAAAGAGAAGCACCTCTCTGTTTACGTAAGGCACTGAGCCAGTCTGCCTCACTGTCACAAAATAATTAATGCGCTCAATTGCAACTGCTACTCCAGCAAACAAGGAATGTCTTTGACTACTGAAAATAATTCTGTCTGCTGAACGTGTCCAACATGAAGAGTAGGGGCAGCCCCACGCCCTGATTTAAAAGTGACTCTGTTACCCTAGATTTACACACAGAAATGCTAAAAACGATTTAATAAATATCATATCAAGTCCGCTTAAAATGTAGTTAGTATTTTTTGTGCCAAAACAGCCATATTTTAGTTTTTCATGCTTTCTGCATACTTCCCCACTGTGTCTATTTTTGATCATACAAAAGGTGTTACTGAAATGTAAAAAAAAAAGGATGTTCACTACAGTTAAAAATTTTGGGGTCACTAAGATTTTTTTAATATTAAGAAAAGCATCTTCTGCTCACCAAGGCTGCATTTACTTGATAAAAATGCAGTAAAAACAGAAATATTATACAAATTTTAAATAACTCTTTTCTATTCGAATACATTTTAAAATGTATAATTTATTCCTGAGTTGGTAAAGCAGAATAATCTTGAGTGTAAAATGATCCTTCGGAATTCTTCCTAATATGCTGATCTGGTGCTCAAGAAACACTGTTATCAACAGTTGTGTTTTTTTTTTATATGTTTGAGGAAACAGTGACACATTTTATTTCAGGATTCTTTGATGAATTGAAATGTTCATCATTTTATAAGAACAGCATATATACACTTTCGAGTGAAAATTAAATTAATCAATTCAATCATTGAATAGAAGTATTAATTTCTTTCTTTAAAAAAATCATATTGACACTAAACTTTTTCGTCTATACGAGACTATTAAACCACATGCTTTGTGCTGAACTACTTAAGAAAGTGGGCTGACATACAGTAAGAGACAGGTGAAATGGAGGTAAATCGGGCACAGTTGTTTATTCAGTAATTGTCTTAAGGTTGGATGCTTCAGCGACTCTACCTATCAGTCTGTCTCTCCAGAGCTTTGTAGAGTTACAGTACAACGACTCCATGTCACAATGTCTTCTCTTTTTCTGCAGCTGTAATTGCCTTGTTTTGCCGGCAGTATGACATAATAAAGGACAACGATTCCAGCAACAGCAAAGAGAAGGTAAAACCATCCTCAGAGAGAACCACACCAGAGCACCACAGCGGAGGTCTGCTGCAGAGCAAGGTGGGACATCTGTAAACCTTTTCCTCAACATCAAACTGTCTTTCCTAATTAGCCAAAGTCCTTTTAAAGAAAGATTTTGTCCGCATTTACTCTAAACCTGTATTACTGTTACGGGGCTGACGAGACGTGAGACTTGCGGATCCATGTGCAAGCTTTATTTGATAAAGACAGAGACGTGGTCATACAGCAGGCCTGGGTCAGATGAGGGCAAACAGGTATATGGAGGGCAAAACACAAGAATAGTCCTAGGGGTAGCGCAGGTCGACGATCGGCAGACTGAGTCAAAAGGGGCAAGACGAAAGGGGAGAATCCAGGGAACCAGGCGAAGATCAGAAACCGGGAAGGCTAAGGCTAAGGCTAAGGCAAATGACTAGGGCTAAGGCTAAGGCAAACGACTAGGGTTAAGGCTAATGGCTAAAGGCTAAAGGCTAAAGGCTAAAGGCTAAAGGCTAAAGGCTAAAGGCTAAAGGCTAAAGGCTAATGGCTAATGGCTAATGGCTAATGGCTAATGGCTAATGGCTAATGGCTAATGGCTAATGGCTAATGGCTAATGGCTAATGGCTAATGGCTAAAGGCTATGGCTAAAGGCTATGGCTAAAGGCAACAAACGAGGGCTCTGTAGAGTCGCTATCGCTAGGGGAGTGATAAATGCGGAACAATACTCGGCAGAGGGAAGGGATAAGAGTGAGTGTTATATAGTGAGGGAGTGATATGAAACAGCTGGGTGCAATCAGTGTAAACAGGTGTGTGCAATTCGTGCTGAGTGCAATCAGTAATGCATGATGGGAAATGTAGTCCGGGGTGCTATGCAACAGTTTGTGTGGTGCGAGAGTCAATGAAAAGGAAAGTTCATGGACCGGATTCGTGACAATTACTCTTCTTCCAATGGACTTTCAAAGATATTGGGTGAACAAATGACAGACAGAATTGTAGTTTTTGAATGAACTCTTTAAAGTCTTATTCTAGTCATATTTGAACATAACTTATAGGACAAAAAAAATCATCATGTTGAAGTAAAGCACCCTTTGAAAATGCAGTTTTAGTTGTAGATGAATGTGCTGTAACAGATTTTTAACTTTCAACTAAAATCTGTCACCACATCAGATCACATATCACCAGTTTTGTCGATTTCAGTGCAAAACAGATATGCATTTATACTTTCCCCCCACAATTCCCTCAATTCCCCTGTTTTCAAAACCTCAGATTGAGTTAAAATTGAGAAATCTATTTCTCAGACACGATACTTTTCATTAGCTCTTAATGAAAAGCGTAGCATAAGCATTTAGAGCTAAGAGGACAGGGAAAAACAACCAAATCACGTTTAACACCTGCAGAAAGACTAAGACAGAAAGGAGAAAAGCATTTAGATAGCTATCCATCTCACTTTTCACAAAGACTGTCTTCCTAGGAACTGCCAATTGATAAAACCTCTGATTGATAAAACCTTTTTGTTATTTGTCGGATGAAACCTGCCAGCAATGAAGAATGAGGCCGAACACTATAATGGCCAGAGCATCAGCCTGTCAATACTAAGCCAGTCCTGCATTCCCTGACTCATGTGAAAGGCTTCAGGGACTTCTTCTCATGTATCACTTTTGCGGGATCATAAACTAAGCCTATGGAGCTTTATATTTTTGCAGACAATGCTACAATTCACTGTTTAGCATGATTTTGGCTCTGGTCAGTAATGCTGAGCAGTTTGCAAGAGAAAGTGTGTCAGGGTTCCAGAATCATTAGTTTTGTTTATAAATAATATAGAATAGTCAGACTGGGCTTCGACACAGATTTTTCCGTTCACAAGCTCTTGAACTGATTCGGTTCTGATTCATTTGGGTATGTTTCAGTAATAATATAAATTCTCTCCCTGCTAATGCTGTAAATTAAACTGAGAATTATCCAGACTAATTCAAATTGGTATCTCTTTTTGGACTATTTACTAAAAGAACCAGCTCAAAAGAATCCTTTTTGAGAATCAGACTACACTGATTGTAGTTTAGTGTTTGTTATTGCGTGCAGCCTGGAATGTCAACTCCACAGAAAGACATTTCTTGTCATTATTTTGCAGTACAATGTTTTTTTTCCCTTTTTATTTAGTAAAATTACTTTGAAAAAAAATCTGCAAGGGATATGTAAATGAATGAATAGAACTGTAAATTATTACAATAATCATTTTAAAAGCTGACTACAGGGCCCAGATAATGAAGCGCTATACAAATACTGTACATTTGCATCCAGCCAAACCGATTTTGGGATTTTGAGAATCAATATCGAAATTGTTCAAATGAAGATCGCAATTAATCCAAAAAACAATACTTTTACCCAACCCTATAAAACAGCACCTAAAACATTACTAAACGAATGCTAATTATAATTAAAATAATAATGGCCATAATATCATAATTTTTACTACTTTGTAGCATCCATGAAGATACAGACTGGAGATGAAAATGGAAAATATTACGCATGGCACTTAATTTTAGAATCTGAGACTTTTCAGCATAAGATCTGTGGATCAAACACCAGAGCTACTGACCTACTTCTAAAATAAACCATCTCAGGAAAACCACCATGTGCCTTTTATCCTTCCCATATTCCTGTAGCTCTTCATTTGGCACTTTCTCTGTGTTGGAAATTCAGAGCGATAAAACAAGCACAGACGCTTCACATTTCACCCGTTCCACTATGTGCCACCATTAGTCCTTATAACACATAAAAAAACTGGCCTTTTAGACGCATGATAAAAATCAATATCAGACCCTCTGATGATGTCATCTCTTGCACCAAGACCCTAATGGCCTCAATTTCAACATACTGCACTGCTACAGAGCAAAATGATGTGCATTTATCTCTGTGTGCATTACATCTTAGAGCTTACAGCTATATATACAATAATCTCAAACTGCAAATACATCCAGAGGTGTTCTATCCATCCAGGAAGCCATCGTGTCCCAGACCGCCACAAAACAAACGATTGCAGGCATTAATGAAACAGGCCCCACGGAGGAGAATCACTCTTCTCGTTTTTTCACTAATTTTTTTTTGTCTTTCTGTCTGTTGCAGTTCCACCAGTCTGTGGCATCTATCAGCATCATTGAGGTGTGATGGGAGTATCGTAGACATCAGTCACGCCCTCCGTTGCACCACCCGCAGTATCTGAATGACAGTGTGTCGACCCTTTCATCACCACACGGTCAAAAATCCATCACCCATATACACATATTAAAGCAATCTACTGGGACTGTAAATAACATATATTGCATATATGACTGGATGTCTATATTTTATGATGGATGGAGAATTCCCAAACCTCTTACTGCAATATAACAAGACTAAATCTGGATTTTTTTCTCTTGTATAGAATAGGAAGGAAAGTGTATTTTTGTAATGGTATTGGTGAAGTATGACAGGGTTTCTACTATTTAATTAGCGTGTGTTTTGTTTGTGCATGCAACTCTCATGGTCTGATAGGATGTGTACAGAAGCAGGTCTTTAAATTAAAGCAATAGTTCACCCAAAAATTAATCCAAAGCCTTGTAAGATGCAGAGAAGTTTGTTTCTCCGTCAGAACAAATTTGAAAAAATTCAACATTACATCTCTTGCTCATCAATGGATCCTCTGCAGTGAATGGGTGCCGTCAGAATGAGTCCAAACAGCTGATAAAAACATCACAATAATCCACAAGTAATTCAGACAACTCCAGTCCATCAATTAACATCTTATCGAGTGTATTTGTAAGAAACAAATCCATCATTAAGACTTTTTCAAATAAGAGTCCTCTATCCATAATATTCCTTTTTCCAGTGAAAAGTTGTCTCATCTAAATCAGGAGGGTAATATGTACAGAACAAGCAACATTTACAAGCATAAACAGTCTAAAACAGATCTAAACAAATGTGTCGGTGGATTTTGATGTGAAAAGAGGACAACAGGGGATGGGTTTATGGAGCGTTAAATGGATTATGGACTGAAGTGACAGTCTAAAATGAAAACATCTTGATGAATTTGTGTCTTACAAACATGCAGTTTTTCACTTCACAAGACATTAATTGATGGACTGGAGTGGTGTGGATTATTTTTTGTGATGTTTTTATCAGCTGTTTGGACTCTCATTCTGACGGCACCCATTCACTGCAGAGGATCCACTGGTGAGCAAGTGATGTAATGCTACATTTCTCCAAATCTTTTCAGTTGAAAAACTAATCTTGGATGGAATGAGGCTCAGTACATTTTCAGCAAATTTTGATTTTCCGGGTGAACTTTCCTTTAAGTTTGTGCTCTTATTCTCATTAGTTGGTAAATGTGATGGAACTGCGTCTGTTCTGCTTATTAGAGAGAGTAGACTTATGCTAAATCTCGCTGCTTGCAAATAGTTTCATCTCTTCACCTTCCTTAACAGTTTTTATGTATCCTAAATATGGCTAGTAATGTTTATTTGCTTGTTTACCCAATTTTGTTGCACTATATTATAATCGTAAAACCTGCCAGAATGAATAATGCACCTAAATAATGCTAATCTCACCGTGTAAAAAATGAATATTGAATTATTGGTCATTTTAAGAATATAAAGATGCCATAAACCTATAATGATGAAGAGTGCATGCAAAGTTTTGCATTTATGCTCTCAGTTCATGATTCTTCTTTTAACTTAGTTGATTTTATTTTCTATTTCTCCTTATCAGTTTTAATAAAGATAATGAATTACTTGATGTAAGTTTTTTCTTGCTTTCTTATTGGCATTATAGCATATTTGGTATATGAGAGAAGTACTACAGTATACAGAAAGCCAAACCAAATGTTTGTTTCCACACAGACGTGCTAATAAAGTGGGAACTAATTTATTGGTGCATTCAACCACCAAACAAAGTACATTAAGAATCATTAATGTTGACAAAACATTAGAGAATTAATCAAATGAACAATATATCCAAAAAAGAGACTCAGATCTACATACTCTTCAACTATAAAAAATGTCCTAATGGCACAATTTGTTCATTAACTTCTAAAATCACAAGATATGAGACTATTGTATTTTTGAACAAATAATTTATTATACATTATTAAATATCAAGCAATGATTATGTATATATGCAAATGACCTCTTGAGCTCTATTATGGTTTCATGATGGTTTAAATAATAAAAATTAGTACGTGTACAAAGCCAAACATAGATTGCATAGATTTTCATAAAGCACCAACTTCAATTTCATACTATAAAAAAAAACAAATGATAAAAATCACACACAATATTCTATACTGATTGAACAATATTTAAGAAATCATTTCAGACATGATGACGTAACAAAATGTTTTTACTACGGTTGTTTCAAATGGTAAACACACCGAAAGTGTCCCAAATCCCTCCACAGAAAACTGTGAACGGCATAAAGTCAAATCAGAACAAACATTAATAATTACCCCACTGACAGATTCAATATGATTAATCAAAATAACCAAAACACCACTTACTGAACTAAGACCTTTAGCTACAGTGTGCTATTACAGTATATATTATATTATATTAAATTAAACTTATTTCAGCAGGACAATGGTTAAAATGGTTAAAAATTTTGATCTGTAATACAGAGTGGAAATACTGCATGTTCAAAAATGCACAAAAGGGAAAAAAGCTGACGGAGCCACTGAGGCTCAAAGACTTAACGTTTAATGATGAAGAGATTTCTGAGTGTGCATTTTAATATAATGTAAAAAGGGTAGAATGGTAGTAACGCTAGCTGCTAGAGACTGATTGGGCCTCACGGGAATAAGATTATTTTTCATTTCTGAGAGCCACAGTGTAATATTCGGTTACACTTTACTTGAAGGGGTGTGCATAAGACTGACATGACACCTTCATAATCATGACATGACACATACATAATCAAGACATGACACATGTCATGAATATGAAGGGTTTTTATGCATGTTTATGACAACTGTCATTAAGTGTCATTCGCTCAGTTATGTAATTTTTAATGCAAAGATGACATTGTTTGAGATGTCTTTGTTATGGGCTATGGTTAGGGGTAAGGGTAGGGGTAGGGGTAGGTTAGGGTTAGGTCAAATAATGTCATATTTGCATTAAAAATGACATAACTAAGCGAATGACAGTTGTCATAAACATGCATAAAACCTCTTTCATATTCATGACATGTGTCATGTCATGATTATGAAGGTGTCATGTCAGTCTTATGCACACCCCTTCAAGTAAAGTGTTACCTAATATTCTTTAGCTCTTATAAAGCAAAGAAATGACAGAACCTATTGAAAAAAGTGATATAAATTTCTGTGCCTTTTCTATTCAACATCTATCTGACAAAATATGTTCATTTTTTTAACCAAATCAGTAATGATTTTGACATCATTTGAAAAAAAGAAGAAAAAGTCAGTAAATGTATGAAGTTGCATATATTTAAATGAATTAAGATTAAAAATAGGTTTCACTGATGACTGGTGAAACACTGTACTGTAAATATAAACGATAATAATAATAATCCTAACACTTGAGGCTGGAAGCCAGTGTGAAAGGCTTTTACACAAAACTATTTTGGATTCTAAAGAAGAAAGAAATTCAAATGTGTTTGAGGCCTTTGTCAAATTTTTCAAAATTCCATGATCACAGAAAAGAGTTTCTGCAATGATTGCGTAAGCAAACGTCACCCTGACCCACAATATGTATCTGAAATTGAATTACAGAGCGTCGAAATATCAGTCCTGAACAATTCTACATGCTTATATTCGTAAACGTTCACCTAGAGTGTATAACTGCACATCTAAAGCTCCCTAACACATGCGGCTCCAGTACTGTACATCATCTGATGTTTAATCACACTTGTCTGAGAGCTTTGAAGTGGGTTTGTTCAGCGCAAAGGACTCGACTGAAACGACCCACACCATCTGACTTGAAGAACGCTGGGCTGAAGGACAGACGTCTGTTCTTTGTGGAATGTACATTTGGTACATGTTTGCAGTTAATGTATATTTAAATAACATAACCCAAGTATCTACAATATAGCACCAATGTGAAAAGATTTACACTGTTTACATGATATACATAGTAAATCTGCTTACACAAACGCTTGAATACAACATACAGTTTCACATGTTGTATTATCAAGTACTTACCCTGAACTTACAGTATTATAATGAAAGTACATTGGAATTCAAGAGTTCTATAGTTGAATCATGCACGTCTATGCTGCTGTTTTGTGGTATTGTTGCTGTTTTAAGTGGCAGTGGTGTGAATGAGTCCATCACTGAGGCAGACGTTGCGCATTGTGTGTTCAGGACACTTTCTTATAGGCTGGTGAGAGTGATGTGTGTGTGTGTGTGTGTGTGTGTGTTCAGTCTGAGTCCTCACTGCTGAAGGAAAGGAGATCTTCTTCCGCTGGACTCACAGCTGCATCCTCAGACACGGTTCTGCTGCGGGATGTTGCCAGTCTGATGGAGGGAAGAAGAAGAGTAATCTTTACTATTTATTATTTTATGTTACAATGTTTCCTTGTTTTAAAATTTTTTTTTCTAACCGTTTAAACGTTTTAGTCTACAATTACATTTACACTGAAAGATGCACATGCAAAAAAAAAAAAAAAACTTTAGGGAAGGCAATGCTTTTATCAACAACCTGGAAATTTCATGGAATTTAAAATGTAGTTTTTTAGACTTGGAAATTATGCATTTTATTATGAATTTGTATTTATTTATTTGAGTAAATATACATTTTTGCATGCATAGCTCTAAATATTTCATCAGCTACACTGCCGTTCAAAAGTATGGGGTCAGTATGAAATGTTTTTTGTTTGTTTTTGAAAGAAGAAGCCAAGGCTTAATTCATAATGCAGTAAAACAGTAAAATTGTGGAATTGTATTACAGTTAAACAAAAAACAACCTTTTTATATGTATTCATATATTTAAAAAATAATAATATTTAATATTTTAATTAAATAGCTGATTGACAAAATGGTTGTGCTGCTTAATATTTTTGTGATACATTTTCAGAATTTTTTGATGAATAGAACATTTAAAAGAACAACATTTATTTGAATTTTTTTTTTTTTTTTGCTACGTTATAAATATCTTTTTTTTTCTTTTTTTTTTTGGATTGTGTGAAAAAAATTCTGCTGACCACAAACTTTTGAACAGTAGTGCCGATATATTGTGCAAGCAATAATTTGTGAGCAAATCATTAGTTTGAGTCAGGTCTTTTCAGTGAATCATTATTTAGACCGGTGCAGAAAATGAACAGAAACATTCATTAGCAAATCAGTTTGAATCAAAACCATTGGTAACACTTTACAATAAGGTTCCATTAGTTAATGTATTAACTAACATGAATGAACAATGAACAATACATTTATTACATTATTTATTAATCTTTGTTAATGTTAATGAATAAAAATACAGTTGTCCATTGTTAGTTTTTTGTTATTTCACAGTGCATTAACTAATGTTAACAAGCACAACTTTTGATTTGAATAATGCATTAGTAAATGCTGAAATGAACATTAACTAAGATGAATAAATGCTGTAGAAGTATTATTCATTCTTAGTTCATGTTAACTAATGATCCTTATTGTAAAATTATTATCCAGTAATCACAAATGACTGGAAAAGTTATGAAAATTCACCGGGAACACTCTTGTATGTTATTGTTTTGAAGTGAAAGACAGTAATCTTATCAGGCAGTGACCATGAAGGAAACTACGTGTGATGCAAGTCTGAAGTATAATGATATTAGTCTCTGGCTGGCTTGATGATAACTGAGGCTCATCATTCAGCGGTACGGTTTCTCTCACCTCACTTACCTGCGTCCATCTCCTCCACCTCCATATTGCTGCGTGGCAGGTGAGAGAGAGCACGACACATGCTGACAGTAAGCTATGGTTAAACCATCACATCCTTCCCAGCATCCCACTGTTCAAACTACACCAGCCTTTGTCAGCAAGTGGAGATCTAGATATATTATTACAGTTTTTATTGTGTTTTTTCTTTATGTTCGGTGAAAGGAAAGAGCTGACTATTTGGATTCGCCTCATCTGATTCACTTAGAAGAATCATGGTCCTTTGACCCATTGCATTACTTATAATAATGGATTCCATTGGCAGGATGACAGTGCTGTTTCTGACCTGCTGCATCCCAGTAATGAAGTCACAGTAATGCATTGGCATTACAACCAGTTTCAACTTTATGGCAGCAGAGAATGTGGCAAGCAATCATATAATGACTTGTATCAGGTTCAAAATACATTGATTAGAAAGCACATCCCTGTGCAATTGTACAGAAGAATGCCTGTAACTCACTAAGCAATCATTAAGCAATGAAAGCACTGATGTTTGTGATTGTATTGCATGGTGCCCCTTTAAAGATGCCATACAAGCAGAGACAGCGAGTTAAACTAAAAAATCCTCCCAAAAATCTCACACACATTAAATTTAAACAAATAATAATTGCACATTAATTGCATTTGATGATAATTTTATATTAATTAATAGTTCTAAAGAATTAAAATAACTATTTATGATATTTTATCTATTTATTATATTTTATTTTAAAGTATCGTTTTATTACAATTTATTATAAAAACATGAATTATTAATAAAATATCAATTTATTCTATTTTAATTATACAAATTATATAATTAAAATAATTATTATAATTATAAAATTCATCCAATAACAGAACAGATTATACTTCACCTTCACCTTTTTTAATGCATGCTGTATTTGTATATGTAGTACATAAAGATTTTTAAATGTTCAGATAAAAATCTGTACTGAACAAGAGCAGAATCTTGTTTTTTCTTGTAAATAGTTTTTTAACTTTTCAAGATCCTAAAAGTTTCTTAATTTGAATGAATAACAGATTTACAGTGTGATTTACTGAACACCACTTTATGTGTGTGACAAGGCCAATTGTGAATTAAAAACGTTCAGTTTAATCACCGATCTATATTAATGTGCTTGCTTTAATTGACGCACACACACACACATCACTCGCACACAGAGATTGGAGATCACGCTGCGCACACAAAGAAACATTCAGGAGCACAGAAGCTTGTTGTCAACGCTGCCCTGCGACTTCTATTAATAAAACAGATTCGATACTGAATCGCTACATTATTTCTCAGCAGCAAGGGGGTAGACATAGACGCAGGTAATTCACACATGCAACTTTAATCTCTCTCGCTCTGTCTCTCTTAATTATAAAATTCATCCTATTACAGCGCTGATTATAATTTTAGATTAATCATTTTAATTACAAATATGAATTATTAATAAAATATACATTTATTATATTTAAATGATAAAATTCAAATTGACAGACCAGATTATAATTTCAGATTAATCATTTGAATTAATAAAAAAAAAATTATTAGCATTTATTATAAACTATGTATTATAAGTCAAATATGAATGAATGATTATACAATTATAAATTTCATGCAATGATAGAACAGATTCTTTATTTGTTTTGTTTTATTTCCACTTTTCCAGTTTGACTATCTGTTAATAAGAACATATTCATTACTTTGGTAATTCATGTTTTTGTATCTAACATCTTTAACTGTAAAAGCTTGAAACAGTTCACAGAAAAACTCCAACCTATCATTGCATTCATTTCCAGGGCTTTGTTTGAATTGATATTAATAACTGTGTATGCACTTCTACTGTGTGCCAAATCCCGTTCCATCTCCACTTTATGAGACATAATGTCATACCTGAGGGAGTGCGAACACATTAGCTGATTATATGAGGCAAATATAGTTCCATATCAGCATACAGATGGGCTCAAAACTAACACACACACACACACACACACGGATAATATGCTAGAAAAACCCACATTTTGATTTCTTGGTGTCTTTAAGGAACCAAATCAGCCCTTTCGCCTCTTGCTAATAAACAAAGAATTTTAGTGCATCCCGGGGGAAATCATTTCTTTTTTTAAATGCTGTATTCAGACATTTGCTGAGCCGCACTGCAGATAAAATGCTCTTAGAATAAACACAAGTGGTTAAATACCATTCAAATCTTTGGGGTCAGTAAGATTTTTTTTTTTAAAGAAATTAATACTTTTATTCAGCAAAGACTTTAAACTGACCAAAAGTGACAGTAAAGTCATTTATAATGTTAAAACAATACTTTATTTCAAATAAATACAATTATTTTGATCAGCCTATTTGTTAAAGCATCCTAAAGAAATGTATCACAGTTTTAAACACTGATAATGAATGTTTCTTGAGCAGAAAATCAGCGTGTTAGAAAGATTTCTGAAGGACTGGAGTAATGGCTGCTGAAAATGCAGCTATGCCATCACAGGAATAGAGTCTTGGGCATCAAGACTCTGGTGAGAGTAAGAGGCATCTTTCAAAAAAATCTTACAGACTTCAAATTTTTTAACAGTAGTGTAGATCTTTGTTTTACTACCACAATCAGATCTTTTCCTTTTGTGTATATGTATGCGAGTATTTTAAAGCACAAGTTGTGATCAATAAGCACTATATCTAAAAAAAACACTATCCTGGAGGATCAATCTCTGATTTCATAGACAGGTTGACTATGTGTGAGCAGAAGGGAGCAGAAACTTACCTTGAAAATGCATCATCGAGGCCATCTTCCAAATCCTGAAAATAAGAGAACATGGCATAACCATGTAAGAAAAACCATCACAGATCACATCTATAATCAAATTCAGATTCAGAGAGTAACTCTCAGCACCAGCATGCAGTAAAAACTTAATGTGACAGTCATTATCTGAGACCAGCAGACTGAAGGTCCCAATTGGGTTTCAGAATCTGCCTAAACAGTGAACGTAATTCAATCACGGCTGAAAAGTAATTAACAAAGGCACAGCTGAGAACGGTGTGCAGACAGAGAACCTGACAGATGCAATCTTTCATAAAACAGACTTTGCCAACTAAACTAGAATGTCCAGCTCTCCACCCAGAGGTCATGTATTTAATCAATAATATTGTATTTAAGCAGAGAATGCCACTTAGTGGTGAATACCCTCTATATCAACAGGACAGGACCTGCTGACTGACAATATAATGGCAATTAGCCAAGGGCAATAGAGTAATTACTGTCTTGGCATACTCTTTGCTATCAGAACAACTGACCTTCATGTTGGCGCTGATACTCTGCACAATAGTGGCACTCTTTCAGCAAATTAATGAGCATTCAAATGATCAGGAAAGACAGCCTTGTATTTGAGCCATACAGAAATAAACTCCTGGAAAAGCACTACTGTCCTTCTATGAGGGGATATTTATGTGTAAAATTTGTTCTGCTCTAAATTAAGTTCAGTAAGTTTTTTTTTTTTTTTAAAGAAATTATTACTTTTATGCACATTCACACATTAAATTGATCAAAAGTGAGTCAAGACATTTACAATGTTACAAAATATTTGTATTTTCAAATAAATGCTTTTGAGCATATCATAATGATTTCTGAAGGATCATGTGTGACACGGAAAACTAGAGTAATGGCTGCTGAAAGTTCAGCTTTACCATCAGAGGAATACATTACATTTTAAAATACATTCAAATAGAAAACATTTATTTTAAATTGTAATAACATTTGACAGAGTTACTATTGTACTGTATTGTTGACCAAACAGAAGCAGCCTTAATGAGCATAAGAGACTTCTTTAAAAAAAAACATTAAAAACTCAAACTTTTGAATGGTAGTGTATGTGAACAGTTTAGAAAGGACGACATCATACCCAGGAGTCATGTTTGATTGGGCGTCTCCTAGCTTTGCTGCCTGGAGATGGTGAAAGGAAAGAAGGGAAGAAGGGCTTCTTAAGTGTGTGCTCCATCAGAGCCTGAGTCTTCTCCTCCTCTGACACAAGTAAAGAACACAAATGAAGGGTATTCCCATGAATTCAACAAAATTAAGACAGACATCCAGCAAACCATTGTGTTCAAACCAATAAATGTACCTGAAACACTGTTTGGTTCAGATTCAGGCTGAGATTCAGGCTCTGAACAGGAGTAGCATGTGTGAGCTTTCTTACTTTTGTCTGCAATGGAAAAATTAAGACACAGGAATATATTCTGTTCCTTGGGATATTTTTATATATATTGACAAAAGGCACACAAAAAAAACTCACCTTCCTGTGCGATCTCCCACAGATCCAGAGCTACTTTAAAGAGTAGCATGTGTGAGCTTTCTTACTTTTGTCTGCAATGGAAAAATTAAGACACAGGAATATATTCTGTTCCTTGGGATATTTTTATATATATTGACAAAAGGCAAAAAAAAAAAAAACTCACCTTCCTGTGCGATCTCCCACAGATCCAGAGCTACTTTAAAAGCTTGTGCCACTGTCAGAGTCACAGCCTGAGCCTGTGGAGGACACGTGATCACAAAATCAAAGAGAGCCCTGGGTGAGATTTTGAAGAATCATGCTCTTGTCCACTAGATGGCGCTAGATACCAACTATAGATACGGATCAAGAGAAAAGACTGTGGCTTTCATAATAAGAGTTTGTCAAATATAATACAAAACCTGTAGCAAGAAAATAGACAATCATAAAGCAGGCCAAACAGCAAGGTGATGAAGGATTACAAAACTATCAAAATGGAAAAATGTTAACATGTAGATAGATAGATAGACAGATAGACAGACGTTATGTGCATCTGAAGACACTTACTATTTTCTTTTTTTGGCACAGGAAGGCATGGCACTCCAGAGCTTCGTTGAACTGGCTTTGGGAGACGTAGGCAAAGACCTTATCCTGAGTTTTGTCTGTTGTGCAGTAAGATATTCTGCAAAGGCAAGAAATACAAGCTTTTCACTGTATTGTCCATAAAGACTCATATAATCAAATGACATTTCCGGGAATGTATAATACTGACAGGGTCACCGTTATGACCAAATATTTATCTTTCAATAATATCATGAAAGTGTGTGAAAATCACCAGCTTTATGTTACAGAGAAATTACAAGCTACTTGGAGTTCAGTAACCGAAAAGAAGAAAAAAAACCTCTTCTGTTATATATCGAGTCATTTCTAACTTTCAACAAGAGTAATAACTGCATCCAATTAAGCAGGTCACACAGCAAGGTGATGAAGGATGACAAAACTATCAAAATGGAAACATTTTAAAGCGAGTGTGTGTAGATCGATAGATAGATAGGAATTTTACATTGTGCCATCTGTAACATCCAAACATTTTCACAATGTGCATCTGAAGACACTTACTATTTTCTTTTTTTGGCACAGGAAGGCATGGCACTCCAGAGCTTCGTTGAACTGGCTTTGGGAGACGTAGGCAAAGACCTTATCCTGAGTTTTGTCTGTTGTGCAGTAAGATATTCTGCAAAGGCAAGAAATACAAGCTTTTCACTGTATTGTCCATAAAGACTCATATAATCAAATGACATTTCCGGGAATGTATAATACTGACAGGGTCACCGTTATGACCAAATATTTATCTTTCAATAATATCATGAAAGTGTGTGAAAATCACCAGCTTTATGTTACAGAGAAATTACAAGCTACTTGGAGTTCAGTAACCGAAAAGAAAAAAAAAACCTCTTCTGTTATATATCGAGTCATTTCTAACTTTCAACAAGAGTAATAACTGCATCCTGTCATGTAATGTAGGTCTATAAGGTCTGTAGATCAACCCAGACAATCCTGTCAAAAACAGATTTGTACTTTTAAAAAAGTAAGATGGGTTTGTAATCTCTAAGATTCATATTGGTCAAATCTGTGGGTGAACTGTGATAACACCCATTTCTGCACCCAAAGAGTTCTGTCATCATTGTTCCAAACCTGTGTTATTTTCTTTCTGCTGTGGAACACAGAAGAAGATATTCTGAAGAATGTCTGCCCTTTTTCATTCAATGACATTTTCCTGTAGATTAAACAGTACAGCATGGCGCTAACAACGCCAAGGTCATGGGTTCAATTCCCAAGAAATGCACAAACTAAAAAAAAAATACATAGCACTGAATGCAATGTAAGTTGCTTTTCATTAAAATGTCTGCAAAATGCATAAATGTAAATAAAAGTGGATGGGGACTGGAGCTGCCCAGCTCCAAAAGCATAAAAAAGAACCAAAAACATTCTTTCTGAAGCCATTTGTTGACCATTTGTTTAAATAACAGACTGAAATTTAAGATGTTATTCTTTCAATAAAATATTGCCATTGAAAATTTAACTTGACAGTCGTGGTCACCATTCACATTCAATGACAATGGGAAATAAAAGTGAGTAAATCATGGCAAAAGTTTAATTTCGGGCTATATTTTATTCCACTAGACTGTCGTAATATCCTTTCAATCTATAATTTTTTGTTTTATTTTACTGCATTTAGTTTTTGTAAAGAAAGCCAGAGATCAATAACACGGTGTAGATTTTACAGCCAATGCGATTATCAAATATAATATCAGACACACTTATAATTAAAATGAAATATGAACCATCAGAAATGTAATAGAAAGTGGATTTTGAACGTCATTTTAGGAAAATAATATAAATTTAGAGCACCAACCCAAAAGCTTTTGTGTGAAAATGATGAGATACATTAAACAAAGACCAGGGAAAGACAGAGCTCTGATCTCACTTCATCTTGTTAGTGCACTGCTTCTGATGCCCGACCTAAAAAGAAGACCCTTATTCCCTTTCTCCCTCCCCTTTCTGTCTCTGAACATGGGGGGTCTTCTTACTGAAGAGTGAAAAGCTGAGTGGGAAGGAAACTGTAAATGGCCTGAATGTAGCTTGTTTAAACAGAACTCTATTTAAACAGAATTGAAGATGGGGGACGCTTTATCCTTGGCTATACTGACAAGAACTTCGCAATCTTTGCTTTCGTGGAAAACAAATAGGAAGTTTTGAAAATAACTTCATGGAACATTTATTTACTTTTTACATATTTACATACTAGTCCTTGAATTTGACTGGCTGAGCGGCATTTGAAGAGTGCTTATATATATGTACCATATAGTCCAACAAAACAGTTTGCATCGCTCTACTTGCTGTTTGTGAGTTCTACAGGTGGACTTTTTTAAAAACTTTTTCTGCAGGATATATTGGTTCACCAGTAGGTGGCAACAAGTGACCATCTTTATGAGTGAGTCATTGGAATCAATGGATTTGTTTAGAAATTTAGGCTGCATCCATATAAGCATACTTTCCTACTATATAGTAGAAGCAGTATATGAAGGAATTTATGATTCTGAAGTGCGGGATGTCCCATGAAGGCACAGGAGGATTTGTGAATGGCAGGAAAGCAACACAGCTGACACTGGTAGGTCACATGATAATGACAACATGACAAATGTAGTACCGACCATATGTCCAAATAACATTCATTCTACATACATTCATCCTATATAGTACTTTTTCACATTTGCAAATTAACTACACCAAAGACCTACTTAGAATGTATGCAATTTCGGATGCAGAATTTACTAACAAAACAAGTGATTATGTTTATGAGTGAGTCATTGAATCATTCAAGCTACCGATTTGTTTAAAACTACCAAATTATTCAGGAACAAAACACCTACTGCCTGTTGCTTGTGTAAGTTAGCAACAATTTTCATTGCAATGAAGTTAATGGCAATGCTGTTCAAAATGTAAGCTATTTATAACATATTAATTGAACTGTTTTTTATTGTCAGTGTGTTTTCAGACCTTTGCACTCTGTATATGAATGAGAAATCATAAGGTGGCTCATGTAAACAAAGAAATTGAATCCAGGAAAAGTTAAAAGCAGAGATACAGTAAAGTAGCAAATAAGTGAGTGAGGCGTTTGCATGAAAGCTTCCTGCCTTTGGAGACTTTAGGCAAAGAGGAGACACACACTTGTTAAATTTTAACCAATGTAAATAGAGTCTTAGTCAGGACACATACAATGTACAGAGAAAAAATGAGGGCTTTTACGTAAGCAACTCAAGGGTAACAAACATGACCTAGTGGCTCTGACTACCATAAGAGCTTCCAAAATATATATATTATATTTTCATTTAATTAATATTTTATATATTTAGAATTATATATATTCATTTATTTAATAAATTAATTTAAAATAAATGATTTTAATAAAATTATTTAAAATAAATGTTAATTTAATATTA